ATGAGGATATAGCAAAATGTGCAGCAGTAAATAGTTCCATTAATATGGATGAAATTAAGAGAAGCAAACTACTCATGTTTCCTAATTACTAAACACAAGATTGTCATTGCTGTGCATCAGTAAGGAGTTCAATTGTTACCCTCTTGCTTCCTTGTATGGGCTACTCACATTAGAGATCTGAGCACAGTTCGTGAACCAGAACGTGTCCTCTGTAGCACTCAAGAGCAGAAAGTGGCAGGGAATTAGATTCTTGATTCAGCTTGCTCTCACATTGGCTGTCAGATCTGAATTAATAGAGGAGGAAGTTGCTCTTGATATTGGCCAATAGCAATTTTTTCCTACTCCTTGACACTCAGTTCCTTTTTTGCCTGTCCTCGGGGCAAAGCACCTTACCCTGGCTCATTACAACATGACTGCAAACTTATTGAAATAATGTCACTAGTTCTTGTGAAGAAATGCTTCCTAAGGAACTGAAATACATGCCAGCAATCATTAGAAATAATAAAGTTAATACTAAAGGCAAACTGAACTGTTAGCATTTTTTCCCAATGTGTCACCTTGGCAGGAAATTCTCAGAGAAGGTTTGCTTGCAGTTCTACCTTGAGTGAAAGAAGCACTCAGAAATTATTCTCTGTTATGCTTTCATAAGTGATTTAGTTCTAATTTGCCAAACCAATCAGAGATGTTACTTTTTCTGAAAGTGACATTATTTGTAATAAGGTAGTTGTCTATGTTTCCTTGAGAAGTTAAGAAATCTAAACACAATGCAATGTTCTTTTATTTAGGAAGATAGTTTTGAGTCTCAGTTTGTAGCGGATGCTACAAGAAGCTACCTGTTTCATTTTGCAGTGTAGCATTTCAGAGGCCCAAGCACAGATTTTCTTCTGGGCTTCTCATTGACAGCTGTTGTCACAGGAGCCTCACAAAGACAGTTAAGCCAGTTAATGTTCATTTAGTTTTGAGAATTAGAGAAGCAGACAAAACCTGTAGCATGCTGCTTCCGGGACAAGGCAATCAATGCAAAATAGTTTCCTCCAGCCAATTTGTAAGACTAAAACAACTCCCTGTTCATCACTGACCATTAAAAAGAGAAAAGGAGTATCTGAGATTTTGTCCCACTTATTACCCCTTAAGGGCTGTGCTTTCTATTTAACGATGCATTCAGGAGCAGAGAAATTCCTGGAGGAGTTTTAAACACGCACAACTGAGTATTAGAAGCACTGTAGCTATAACAGTATGTCTGACAAGGTTTCCTAGCTCTTGTAGCTTATTTTTCACTGCTCTGGTACTCAAGCCAGCTTATCAAGTATTTTTTAAGGTAGCTCAACAGGGCAGCATTTTGCACATCATGGATAAATGGAGCTGTAAGGGGATTAAGCTTTAGAAATCATGCTCATGGTGAGTTTCACACAATTAAGTCTTCATACTTATAAAATTATAAACCTGAAGAAACAGGGTGGGGGGAGAGGAGGGTGTTCAGCAGCTTTTGTGGTTTCTTGTCACTGCTTATTTTCATGTATGTTGTGAGATGGTCTTGCATAAACTTGTGGTGTCAGGATACAGGAAGAGGAAGCGAATAGGAGCAAGAATGCTTAAGTAGTACAGCCATTTTTTTAAGAGGGTTTCTAAGCAATCAAACAGAAATTCCAGGGCTGAAAGACTGGCAGGTACATCTTTTGAGTGTTTAGCAACGCTGTTACCTAATAAAGGAGACAGCTTTGCAATGAGATGAAGAAATGGCTGTTGGTCATCCAGGAAATTGTCTGAAAAATTCAAATTTCTGTGTGTGGAGAGACTACTACCGTTTGAATTTTTGTTCCAAGTTCCTGCCCGCTGTGGCAAGATGTAACCATGTTCATACTTTGTGTGGCGTGATAAATGGACACAATACTAATACCATAATCTTGTGTGGTACTCTAATGACTTCATTAATCACTGACCTCAAAACAGTATCCAAATTATTCAACCCCAAAGTCAGAAAAGGTACACTGAAATATTCAGGGGGACTGAACACAGACCATTTCCAGGATTTACTATTTTGATTGAAGAGAATACTCTCTGTTATAAACACTATTTTGTGATTCCAAATCCCTCAAATAACATAACACCCCCACCCCACACCCCCAGCAAAACAGAAAGAAGATATGAAAGGCAACAACATTCAGACTGTGACTGTGCAGAGTCTGCTATGTGTGTTTTAGTTGGTAGAACTGAATGTTTTGTCTGGCAGCTCAGGTACCCAGGTAATCCAATTCTGGTGGAAAAGGATTACCAGCAAATAACTCTTGACAGTCCTGTATGAAGGAATATGAGAGGAATATGAGTTCAGCTGCACTTGAACACTTTGATGCCTTTGGAAGCCTGTGAGGTGAATAGCTATGATCAGTTTTATTCCAAAATTTTCATCCAGCATTTCTGATTTCACTAGCACTGTGTGGATTTTCAGAGTAATTATTCAGAATGAGCAAGAATGGTTTCCTTGAGAATGGGAATGTTTGAGTGGAACTTTACATATGATAAGGACATGGAAGCAGTTAGTAAAATACACAGTTCAGTGAGATGGCTGTGATTGGTGATGGGATCTCAACTGAAAACAAGATAAATCAGAAATTTCCAGCCGCTTGAACAGTATGAATCACATCTGAACAAAGAAAATAGTCACATACCAGCTTGTCAGGAATCCTGGAATTTACTTTGGGAAAGATTGACTTCAGGATAGTATTATTGCTTCTTGTTCCAATACCAGCTGTGGACACACACATTCTTATTGTAGAAAAAAATGTAGCATCACTCATCATCACTGTTCTCAAATCAGCAGGGAATTCTTTGGGATTTGTATTTTAAAAATCTGGTAAATTCATAGATTTATCCACTAGACATTATTCATAAGGGCAGGAACTTTCTTTCTGCAGAGATTTGTCAATCAAAAAGAAAGTACACAGAAGTCTGACATGTTCAGTGTTTGTCTTTCTTCCTGAGAAATATGATTTTTAATGTGGATCATTCTGTCACCTGTTAACAAATGGCTATGTACATATGGAAAAGCCTGTGTGTACCTATCCAACTAAATGTGAAGCATATAGTTATCTGATCTTTAACTGGACACTGAAATTTATGTATGTATGCCATGGGTGAAAAAAATCTGTGAGACTTGACAGCTATTTCTTTCCTTTCACAGTCTTAGATATTTCAACTAAGGCAGTGGTCACTTACCATATTGCTTCAGAAGGTTACAAGGTTGGAAGAAACATCCCTTTTAGCATAGCTGTTATTTCTGCTCCTGGTTGCTTCACTTCCTTCCCACCCAGCAGCAGCCACCACCACCCCCCTGCAGCCGGGCCTGGGTCAGAACCTCTCATCTGTATGAACAAAAAGCAGTGCCACTAATGATTTTGCAGAAGGGTTGAGCAGGGGGCTAGGGGCAGAGAACAGCCCCTGGTCTCCCCAGCAGCTCCGCGGCTGCTGCAGGGGGTGGCAGTTTGACTTCCCGGGCCGCAGCACAGGCTGGCAGGCAGGGGGGCACATCTGGCCGCAGCTGCCCCACCTCGCTCAGAGGGGCACAGAGCAGGCGCTGCTGCCGGTATTAAATACGGATGACCTGCCGGGGTGGTAAGTG